GGGCCCCACAAACCCTATTCTAATTAGTAAGGTTTCTACATTACGTGTAGCCGAAAAACCCTATTTTTAGGGTTTCTTCTTCTGGTCTCTATATATAATTCCTTGACAGGGCCGGTTTTATCGGGCTACAGGTCTAGGTATTAGGGTTTAGGGCTCATAGAGTTCAGGGTTGAGTGTTTAGGATATAGGCTTTAGGGTAGAGGGTTGAGCGTTTTGGGTTTTCAGTCACGGTGTCAGTGTTCCTTTGAATCGGTACGGCTGGAGGGTCGTTTCTGGCTTTCTCCTCCAATCTCGTGTCTGCTTGGAGGTCCATGGGACTTAGCAAGTAGGTTATAAGTAGAGTTATAAGTACCCTAACTACCCCAATTATAAGCCTACTTATAACCGACTTACTAAGTCCCTTGGGCCTCCAAGTACTAAAGTTCAATGGAGTCCTCGCTGCAGTTCCTGTTCAGAATCCTTTTTTTCTCTAACTCGATCTCAGGTTGTGGGTTTGAGGTTTCGGGTCCCGAGTTCTTCCACCTACGAGTTTCTCACTGAGAGCTACTTATTTCTCCTCTTCCGTTTCGGCTTCCTTGGCCAAGACGTCTACTTGTTGTGCAGCCGCTTTCTGTGCATTTCTTCAATGCCAGCCTTTGGTTCGCTGGTCTTCTTGGACGTTTTCTTGGTTGGTTTCACGGCTTGGGGAGCTATGGGCATCGATTTTGCCCTGTGGGCTCACGAAACAGCGCTTGAGTTCGCACTGCCATTTGCGCCTGTGGTCGTTTTTGGCATGGGTGGACAGTTTCTGAGCTTCTTCTCCTTACGTGGAGATTCCGACAGGAATTCCACTCTTGAAAAACAGGTGACAGCCATCTCGCCTCCAAACGGAAGTTGGAGCTTGCAAATGAGTGGGCCGGATTGTCTTTCTACACAAACACAGCGGCAGCTGCAGCGATGGGGCCAGTTTATTTCGGAGAACCGAAGACAGTCAACACCGAATGCAGGTCTGGGCTGTCCGCCGATCTGCGACATTTGAGATTCTGCGCGTGGAGCTTTTGTAGCCCTGGTGTCTTGCATCGTTTGAGGTCGAGTTCGATGCTGCTGATGGGGTGTATGTATGTACATGTGGGGGTTTCCGAAAATAGGCGACCCTAATAAAGTACCCTAAACAGTAGGATCCTTTCTATAAGGAGCCCAAAATAAGGTGCCCCTTGTTTTCTGAAACTCCCATGTACGCTTGTGTTGCTACAGTTGAAGCTCTCCCACTTGGAGGCCCAGGACACTTAGTAAGCAGGTTGTAAGTAGAGTTTTAAGTACCCTGACTGGAGTTCGCCCAATCATAACCCTACTTATAGCCGACTTACTAAGTCCCCTGCTCCAAGCACAGCCCGAAACCCTGAACCCTTCATACTCGAGCTCGTGGGTGCCGGGTTCCCTCAACCTCAACCCCCATACTTGGAGGTTCATGGGTAGTCTAGGATAACTATACTTATAACCCATATTAGGGGAACTATAACCCTACTTATAACTACCCATGAACCTCCAAGTAAGCCCTGTGGTTTCAAGGTTTTGGTTGTTAAAGTTTTGAGAAATGTCCGTTTGCCAGCAGGTGCAGACTTACCGGTAGGGTTTAAAAGTTTAGGGTTCTTTCATTCGGTGCGATGGGCGATTTAGACTTCATTGAATATTTGGATATAGTAGAAGCCCAAAAGTTGGAAACCCAATAGCCTCAATCCCTAAGAGCAATGCATAGGGAATCCCAGCACTATTTGTCCTTTATCCGGTTTCCAACTTTTTGGGGCTTACTATAGCCCTAAACCGTAAGCCCTGAACCAATTTGCTGAGCATTAAGTAAACCCCAAGCCCTAACGCCCAAAACCGCGGAACACTACACCCCCTAACCCCAAACCCCTAAACCGTAGACCCTGCACCCCTAAACCCTAAACCCTAAAACCCTAAACGGTAGAGCCCTACCACCCCGTAGAACCCTACACCCCTAAACCCTAAACTCTATATAAACCTCCAACCCCACGACAGGATCCCGCAAAGTAAAATCTCAGACCTAAACCCTACCGTAAGAACCCAAAACCTACTTTTTTGTAGGGTCCCTATAAATCCTATTTTAGGGTTTATAATAAGAACCTACAAAAAAGTGGGTTTGGGGTTCTTAAGGTAAACCCTAAACCCTAAACCCTTAAAGAGCTCTAAACTGCAGACCCTGGAGCTGCTAGGCTGACCAAAGAACTGTCGGCCCTGACAAAATACCCTGTGGCTGGGCCGACTTCAAGACTGTATGTAGGGTTTACTATGGCAACTTATGAATAGGGTTTACGGTGTAGGGTGTAGGGTTTAGGGTGTAGGGGTTACTATGGCAACTTATGAATAGAAGCCTGAACAGTGATACCAATGTTAGGGATTCAGGCTGCAAAGTTTAGGGGTAATGATGGAATGGTTAGGGTGAAGAGCCACGCGCTGAGAGAGATTAGCATCAGCAGAGACATGGTTAGCTTCTATCTTACAAGCAAAATTAAAATAAGATGCCTTTCTCGCAGATCTGAATTAGTCTGGGATTTAGGGTTTGTGCTTAGGCTGCATATCAGGATGTGAGCAACCTTACAGTTTGTGTTTTTTCGTTCTGGTGGCGTTCGCCTATATGGTCACAGTTGGACGTTTCGTATAGAAGCTTGCCATCAGAGTTTACCGTAGCCCCCCAAATACCTACTATATAGGTCCCTAGGGGCTCTAGTACCCTATATAGTAGGTAACTGGGGGGGGGTTAGGGTTATGTAAGCCGCATAGCGAGTTTGGCCTGGTCTGTTGGGATCCGATTCTATCGGCGCGAGTTTACTTTGCACATGTGCTCTGCCTACCTACCTACCCACCCACCGACCGGCCTACCTACATACTTACCTACCTACCTACCTACCTACCTACCTACCTACCTACCTACCTACCTACCTACCTACCTACCCACGTACCTACCTAGATTTCTATCTGTGTATCTATCTATCAATCGATCTATCTATCTCCCTCTATCCATTACCTTGTGTATCTAGCTGGCTGGCTGGCTAGCTAGCTAGCTAGCTATCCGGCTATGTGCATACATATACACATATTACAGTATATTTATATATATATATATATGTATGAGTATGTATGTATATATTTATGTGTATACATACACACATGCAAGTGTATACAGTGCTAAAGCAGCAGCAATAGTTGTAGTACAGAGTACTAGTACTAGGAGTAGCAGTAGTAGCAGTAGCAGTAGTAGGAGTAGTAGTAGCAGTAGTAGTAGTAGTAGTAGTAGTAGGAGGAGGAGGAGCAGGAGGAGTAGGAGGAGGAGTAGGAGGAGTAGGAGTAGGAGTAGGAGTAGGAGTAGGAGTAGGAGTAGGAGTAGGAGTGGGAGTGGGAGTGGGAGTGGGAGTGGGAGTAGGAGTAGGAGTAGGAGTAGGAGTAGGAG